TGATCCTCACTAAACTGTTACTCAGTTGCAACATGCCCCACTGAGGCACAAAGCAACTATCTCGTTATTTCTGCATGACTCTGGTTGGAAGAATTTTGTCATCTCTTTCTCCTTAAGTGGCTTTAATTAACCATGTCCCAATGTACATACTTGCAATGCTGGATTTTATAAGAATTTGCATTTATAATGTAGCTATTCATTTTATACCTTGCCTCTGTGCCCTGCTGGACTAAACACAAATAAAATGCTGCTATTGATGATTCATTGAATAGAATAGATAATTTTTCTCATCATTAGGAATAATAGTCAATAGTTTCTTTAGTATGAGCATATCAGGGCCATAATATCCTAAATGAATAAAGCAGCAAAGGCTGCTCTCTCTAAAGGACAACAGAGCATCTATTGAAGTTGATCAGTTGAAGAGAGACAAGCAAAAGCTACAGTCACTGTCTTGCATTTGTATATGGGAGCTGAAGAGAAGGGGCAGGCAATTTGCATATACAACCACCGAAAGGTCTCTCTAAATCACTTTTGTGGCTTGTAAAACACACTGTACAGAACTACGGGCAAGGGCTACCTACACCTTTGTACAGGGCTTAGAGCACTGGGCCCCATTCTTGGTGGGTCCCTAGGCACTTCCATAAGAAAGATTGTTAACTGACAAAGCTACACGCATGCTTGAAGGATTAGGGTCCTGACAAGATCAAGATATTGATAGTTTTATCTAGTTACTCTAGTTTGTATTAAATTAAAATGAAATTATAACAATGTAAGAATAAATGAAATTCTCTGGTGCTGCCTCCCTCCCAGGCACTTGCTAGCCTTCTGTTTTTTACTAAACACCATTTTTTTTTCTAACCCCTTTGGTCATTCTTAGACCCGTCATTCTTCCCACCATCTTCCGTTTTTTCGTCTCTCCTAACACTGGCAACTATGAATAAAGAAACATACTACAGAAAAAGAAATGAGATTTGTTATTACAGTGTAAGCTAAAGCATTTAAGAAAGGGACATGGATCTTCCCAAGTTTAAAGCTATAGTGATTTTGGTGCATTATGGGAAGGCAAGGATCTGAACTTGTGAATTTCCTGGTTTGTGCACTTAAAATGATCACTTCTAATATTTCACTAATAGCTCAAGATAGGCATAGCAGCTGTAGGCATAGAAGAAGTACAGAACACATGGCTAAGAGTGTGTTTCCAAACACATTGGTTACAAGGTAATAATTAAGCTTAGAAACAAAAACTTGAATACATTGTACAGGCTTAGCTACGTTTAAGAAATTGGAACAAAGAAATAATAGAGCTACTGTAGTAGAAAGAAACTGTCATTCTAGCTCCTCTTGACCTTTGGTTTTGTTTTCTGGCTACTTTAACGGAATATCTGCATATTTAAGCAAGTTATAGTTCCTACTGCTGACTTGGATACTATAATGTTCCGTTCTGCAACTTTTGGGAAGTGACTTCAGTCACACACAACAGAAGAGCCAAGAAACAATTGAACCTTCATGATCTGAACTAGTTTTATTACATGGAATGTGAAAAAAGCTGTGCCTTCACTGTATGTTAGTGTGTATAAGGATTTTAAAAACAAACAAAATACAGCGGCTATCGATGAACAGACATAGGGCCTGGAGGAGAGGTGAAAAGAATCTATAACCTAATCAGTGAGCCTTTTTTGCCAGAAAAGCATGTTTCCTGAACTAGAAAAAATGAAGAGTCCCTTCCACTGAATTAATACACTATCTATGGCAGATTAGAGGAAGGGAAACTACTTTTTATTCACGTTAGATACAACAAATATATATAACGTGTATCTGAGTTCAGTGAATTGCATAAAGGCAATGTTTCAGGTAACATTTCATTCAAGCAGGACCTTGTCCCTCACTTTACTGTAACTGACTTTAATGTGAGATTATTCAACTCATCACAGAGAAATTAACACCAAAGAAACAAGAACAAAAGCCTCAACTTGGCGGTAGTAAGAAAAATATCTGTGCACGAAATCACAGATTCAGGTGCACCCACTTGTATTACATCAGTGTTCATTTGCAAAAGCACAGATATAGTTTCCAGAACTCATTCAGACAAAGAATGCACTCGTTTTTAATTTAGCACACAGACTGGAATAAGTACTTGTCATACTGCTTGATTTCCTGGAATTTGAGCTTTGTACAAAACACGGGACTGGAAAATATTTTAAAAATAGATTATGTTTAAGCCGATCTTCAAATGACAGAAGTACAGAAATGCCCTGAATTTAAAGTAGCACATTTCTGCGTTCATTTCTTAAATTTTTCTTCAAAGCTGAAAGTATGCTGAACCACCACCCAAGTTTAAGGATTTTTTTTAAAGCTAAAGGCTGTCATACTGCTTGCTACTGTTAGAAAACAAGACAGGGCAAAAGAGCTGAGCAAGAGAGGACACTGTAGAATTGGCAAAGAAGAAAGGACACAGATGAGGGCAGTGAATGACAATATTTTCTGGCCCTGGGGAATTATTTGAGGTGCTGAGCACATGCAGCTCTTATAGTCTTGAACTGAAGCTGTGGGTACGCTGCACTGTTGAAAGTCAGGCCCCAAAGCGCTCAGTTTTTAAATGAAATACATACTACTTAAAATGTACAGAACTAGAGAGTATTTTAATTGTACTATAACATCTTTTCATTGAACACTTTACTCTCCTCTTCCCCGACTTTTGAAATGATGCTGGTGTGGCTACTAGCATTTGTTTAGGCATCTCATCCCTTGGCCAGATGTGGTACTCTGGATTTTGTGGACCACAGAATTGTTACTTACCCCGTAGTTCATGAAACTTTGGAACACTACATTTAACACCCCAATTATTCACATTCTTGCAATCAGACTTGGTCGATGTTCTGATTGGGGGAGGGAAAAAAAGCAAAAGATTTTTGGCACAATTTCAAAGACACAATTTAACCCTTTTTAAACCACTGCAGTTATAGGAGTCAATACTGTGTGTATGCGTAACAGATGCCTGCCTGCCTGCAAGAAGGCACAAGAATTATCATCTTTCAATTGCCAAAAAGTGTCTTGGGCAGCTGATTACCAATATTGTGTTATTGTAGGGCACAAGTCACTGACTGGTGGCTACACCCTAACTTCTTCAGCTTCAGCACCAACTTCTAATGACCAAGCTAGCTGCAGGTTTAAGATCTCTTTAGAATTTCAGATTTTCTCAGGAAAAGCACTTTGCACAGCAACAGTGAGTATATATCTGTTAAAATCAGCTGAACTCTCAAGTAACAGATTAACGTAATATTTTTATCCAGATATACAAATTTTAATCCAGCATAAAGAAGCACAAATTGCCCCTTTCTTTGTAGAAATACTGGTTTCACAATATACAGTCCTATACCTAACTACAAAGAGAAACAAGGAAACTGGCTACACAAAGTGCTGTGAGTATTTGACAAGAAAAGTTGAAAAAAAAATTTTTTTTTCCAGTTAGACATCCTTTAGAATTACCAGTGCTAAGAGTAGGTAAAAATTTTTAAGGAATATTTAAGTTCCTTCCCATTTCCCTCTTCCCCATACCCCACCCAATATTCGTTTTTTTAATACCTCAGTTGGGATTTTAAATCTCCTTTCCTCCCCAGTATACATATGAGATGCTACAAGCCTCATCTTCATTTATTCATCTGCATATTAAAGAGGTTGTATGAGCAAAGAGGCTACCATATCACACAGAAGCCTGCAACAAGCTCAATAACTACACTGCTAAGAGATGTCATCCATAACATCAAGTGTTTGAGAATTACTAGAATATGTTACTGTTATAGACAAACTTAATCTTGCCAATAGTGGTACTGCACTGGCCAGGAAATGCACTGAAATTGCTGGCACCAAGGAACTGAGAAATAAAATGGGTAGATAAGAGAGAGACTTTTGGCTAGATTCCAAATCCAGTACTGATCTCTCTCCCTCTCACCTGAAGCCTCACATCAAGGAATGATACAAAAGCTAACAACCATGCTAATGTTCATTGTGAAGGGGAGGGAGTCACACTAATATAGAATATTTTAACCACCACATTTAAGGTGGAAAAATTACAGGCCTAAAAGTCATTTATATATGTAAAATATGAACAAAAATAGGAAGATCTTTCAACAGACTGATAAATGATTAAGCCACTTTTTTAACCCAACTTAAAACAAATATTTTGAAAGTTATGTATTGTCATTCATTCAAAATGGGAGCTGCATTCTCAGTGTCCTGAGCTACATCAGACTGCTGGCAGTGCTGCTTATGTGTGGTCATGTCAGGGAGGTGGGGGGGAAGGGGAAGGGAAGCGTCTGACAATTAAATATTTAGTAAGAAAGTTCAGCTTTCACTGATCAGTGTTTTCCTTTAAATACTTTTAGAAATCAGTTTCACTGGGCCTCTCTCTCTCTCTCAGATGCTATTTTCTGTTGCTAAGGGAAAAAAAATGACCCCCTCTCCCGCCCCCCCAAAGACAGATCCCAAAAAGGGCAAAAAATGTCTATGGCAGCTAATTTAGCAATGGCATTCCAGATGCAAGAGTTCATCTTAGCAACACCAGAAGTAACCCATTAAAGCTGATGTTACCACTTGGAAGACATTTGTGCAAACTCACCCACAGTACTACGGATCTTAATGTTCCTTGGAAAATAATTCTGAAGTCATTTGATGAGTAAATCAGTACACATTTTATAATTAATGCAACAGTATTGTTACTTGATTTTTAGTTCTGAAGCAAGGGTTTTTTGTAAGCTAAGGAGGTGGGGATAAATATTGGTTTTCCAGGAGACTATAAATTAGGAATCATTGGTATGGAGGCAATTTCTTTATTCACAGGACATGTAAACTTTCTGTAAGCTTTACATTTAAAGCATCATATTGACCTATACCTAGGCCTGAAAATGCTGCCTTCTAGAGGTCAAAGACAATCCCCATCCCCAAGTTTTCCTTTGGAGATGCAGACAGTACTAATTATGTATTCTGGTTTATAATTTGTATAGTGCCAAACATATGCTAAGTGCTTTATAGACACATGAAGACAAGATCCCCCCGTGAAAAGCTGCTAATCTAGACAATGTACAAATATGGCCAAGGGAAGAATAAGATGCGACAACAGGTGAGTGAACTGTCATATTAATTCTATTACGGTTTTATTGCAGGGAAAGATGAAAGATAATATGCAATTTAGAATTCTTCTGCATGGAGGTCTAGGGCTTGAAGGCTAACTGTAACTAGCCACTCCTTTAGCTGAAACCCACAAGTTTACTTCTGGATCACGACTAGAGGGAACATATTTACTCACTATATCATACAAAATATATTTTATTTACAAATTGTCACACACTGATGTAAAGAAAAGTCAACATAATGATTTTAAAGTTGACAGTCTTTATTTACAACCTTGTTGGCAAAAGGTGGAGGGAAAGTTTAAAACATTTTAAACAGAGGGCACCATAGCTGACGCTGTATCAATTCACGAATCCACATCTTTAGCATCCAGCTGAAGAAGTAAAGCATATCAATACCTACTGGAGCATGAACATCTGAATCTGTACCAGCTCCATTTAGAGTACATTGCTCAAATATTTTAGGCAGTTTCTAAATCAACTCAAAATTACTTATTAAAAAATGCAGTTCTGGTGAAAAGAATGTTCACTTTGACTGTATACTGCACCTGGTAGTAATAAATCCACTTAACTCAAGTTATGCTTCCTACTTTTAGTTGAAAATTACACCTCATTTTCTGCGATGACAGCTCTCAATTCAATTATTAACTACTCTGAATAGCTTACGATGAGGTGTAGTCAAGGGTGGAGTAAAGGAAACTGAAGGAAAGTACTTCTGATTTTTGATGTGCCCTCCAGAATCAGTTGGGGAAACCATAAACATCCTGTTTAAGAATTCTAGACGAAAAAATGATGTAGTCAGTTTTCACTTTGTAAGGTAGACTTCAATTTTCTTATTCGATTTGTTTGTTCATTCTTCTAAATCAAGAGTGTTTAATTCTTCTTCTAGTTCATCCAAGTCCTCTCCAGTAAAAAGATTTTCATCAACAGGAACTGCATCTATTACTCCATTTTCCTGTTCTCCTTCTGCCTCGTTTTCTTCTAAATCACTTTGCTCCCCATTCTCTATCCCACCTCCTGAAGCTTCACTTAATTTGTTATCTGAAAATAAAAAATGCTTACAATGTCTATTAATGTTACAAATTCTTAGTCACTCTCTCTCTCACACACACACACACTCTCTCTCTCTCTCTCTCTCCCACCACCAACTAGGCTCGATGCTTGAAGAATATACACACCTATGTTTTGATGCAAAAATACTGCCATACGGCCATATTTAACTAAGACTTACGGCACCTACTAATGCAATTCATCCCACTGAACTCAATAGGACTACTTGTGTGCTTGTAGGACTGGGTTTTTAACAGTTACAAGTGAACACAGATGTGCATAAATGCAAAAGATTTTTACAACTCCTGTCCTCACCAACTGGTTCATAATATTAAGTTATTACTAGGGCTGCTGATTAATCGCAGTTAACTCACGTGATTAACTCGCAGTTTTAAATTGCACTGTTAAACAACAGAATACCAATGGAAATTTATTAAATATTTTGGATGTTTTTCTACATTTTCATATATAGTGTATTCTGTGTTGTAATTGAAATCAAAGCATATATTTTTATTACAAATATTTGCGTTGTAAAAAGTGATAAAAAGAAATAGTATTTTTCAATTCACCTAATACAAGTACTGTAGTGCAATCTTTTTATCATGAAATTCAACTTACAAATGTAGAATTATGTACAAAAAAAACCTGTACTCAAAAATAAAACAATGTAAAATTTCAGAGCCTGCAAGTTCACTCAGTCCTACTTCTTGTTCAGTCAATCGCTCAGACAAACAAGTTTGTTTACATTTCCAGGAGATAAATGCTGCCCGCTTCTTGTTTACAATCAGGGCTTTGGAGCGGAGTGTGGAGCAGCTCCGGAGTAGCGGAGCTGCAGGTTTTTGCCTGGAGCTGGAGCGGAGCTGGAGCACAGCTCCAAAGCCCTGTTTACAATGTCACCTGAAAGCGAGAACAGGCGTTCTCATAGCACTGTTGTAGCTGGCATCGCAAGATATTTACATGCCAGATGCGCTCAAGTTTCATATATCCCTTCATGCTTCAACCACCATTCCAGGGGACATGCGTCCATGCTGATGACAGGTTTTGTTCAATAACAATCCAAAGCAATGTGGACCGATGCATGTTGATTTTCATTATCTGAATCAGATGCCACCAACAGAAAGTTGATTTTTTTTTTTGGTGGTTCAGGTTCTGTAGTTTCCGCACTGGAATGTTGCTCTTTTAAGACTTCTGAAAACATGCTCCACACCTCATCCCTCTCAGATTTTGGAAGGCACTTCAGATTCTTAAACCTTGGGTCGAGTGCTGTAGCTATCTTTAGAAATCTCACAGTGGTACCTTCTTTGTGTTTTGTCAAATCTGCAGTGACAGCATTCTTAAAATGAACATGTGCTGGGCCATCGTCTGAGACTGCTATATCATGAAATATATGGCAGAATGCAGGTAAAACAGAGCAGGAGACATACAATTGTCCCCCAAGGAGTTCAGTCACAAATGTAATTAATGCATTATTTTTTTAATGAGCGTCATCAGCATGGAAGCATATCCTCTGGAATGGTGGCTGAAGCATGAAGGGGCATATGAATGTTTAGCATATCTGGCACGTAAATACCTTGCAATAAATAAATGGTAGTCTATTATTGTTTAACAGAGCGATTAATCACGATTAATTTTTTTAATTGCTTGACAGCCCTAGTTATTACTATTATTTAATGCTGTATTATAAGTCCAGAAAGGTCCAATCAGGATCAGGCTTTTATATGGTAGCTGCTGTACAAATATATAGTAAGATGAGTACTTGCCTTAAAAAGTTAGCTAACAAGTTTAAGGTAAACTTACAGATTTTGGAGTCATCATTCATTCACTTATTTACTAAAACAGGAAAGTGTAAAGAAAAGTGTTTCCTTTCCCAGTTTCAAGATGTAATTTTTAAATCACTTAAAAATTACAACAAATACTGTAGTAGAAATGACTGTAAATATTAACTAGAGGTCACAAAGCAAAGGGCATTTCTTCCATTAAAAAAAAATAATCTGCCTACAGCAATTCCTTTCCCCTATACTAGAAAATATTGTGTTCTGAAAATACAGAATGACGATATGTGAAGTAGCATTAAGATACTATGGCAATAAGCACTATACAAATCTATCAAACATTTCTTCAGAGCCTCTCTCTATTTGGGTATTGGAAAGACCTTTAACATTACTTCAATGTACTGTATCTGTTAACTTAGTTATGCCTAAACAGTGAACTTACCATCTTTTTCCACTGAAGTGTATGTGCTGAATCGCTCAAGACTAGCCACAGTAATACCAGTCTCATCTACATCCTTTGGGACATACAGGTTCACGTCTACATCATTTATCCTCACAAGATCTTCAACCTGAAAAACAACGTGGGTTTTTTTTGCATTAATCATTGTTTTCCTGCAACTGATTTGTTAATTTTACATTTGACATCAACTTTTCTTACTGCAAGTTTTATTTTGTTCGGTATAAGTAACAGCAAACTAAAAGGGGCACCTACTATTTAAGTACTAGCCAAGCTTCTCAAATTTAATCATAATTACTTTTTTTATGGAAGCCTATCAAAACCAAAAAGTTAGTCTCTAAATTTTAAACGGTAACCAGCAATATGAGGTAGTTAAAAAGAGTTAATACTTGCTTCTTTACCTCATCTTCACTTGATCCTTGAATGTAATTAGTGTCATCTGCTTCTTCATCATCGGCGTCAACCAACTCAGGACGGAACTCAAATACTTCACGTCCACTGATCTATCCATGGGGAAGCAAGTAAGACATGTTCAAACAACACTAATTATTATCTGTACTGCAATTTAGAGAATAAAAGAAAATACACATGGCTTAATTTCAGGCCAGCTACCTCATTATAAAGTGTATTTCACTCTTTCCTCTTACAAGTAGTAGTATTTGAGTGGAGAACATACCACCAGTGCTTTGCCAGCTTTAAAATCTGCTTTCCTCCGTTCCATATCTTGTTCAGCCTTGTCAATCTTTTCTTGTCTTTTTCTTTTCTTCCATGCAAGAAAAGACTCTAGGGTGATTTTGGTAATGTTTGGTCCTAAGGCAGCACGCTGTACAATAAAGATATTAGCTTTAATCAATCTTTGTGAACACAATTATCTACAATACAATAGGTCAAGTTTTTCTTCACAAATTAAGAAACTGACTCTTAAAATCATTCCCTCTTAAGATTTTTCTGTACATTAGAGATACTTAATGAGATTTTTCTTTTGACTTACTTACTAATAATAAACATGCATTCATGCACTCAAATTTGAGATTGTTTGACTCATCAAAGAAAAGTTTAAATAGGCTACCTCCAAATCTATTCTACTACTATAGGTAACCCGGCAATATTTAAGAAATGATGGTTATGTGCATCCTTAAAATATAAATGGTATGAACTAAAGCTGTCAATTTCAATGGCAACACTTGTCCTGGCTTTTGAAGAGATGTTATTAATAAAATTCCCAGGTTCCTTTTAAACAATAAGCAGAAACACCACTAGATTTTTCTTCTGGTTTCAATCTTTTCTACTTCCTGATTAACACAAAAAAACCCACACACAGAAACCCAGTCTTCAATAGTGCCTACTGTTCTCAGATGCTGCATTTCTGTACTACAAGTCAAAATTCTGACCTAAAACATTGCTGCCCTCTAGAGGTAAATATTCAGTTAAACTTTACTTTGCAATCTTATCTGGTGAATAAACTGGAGAAATTAACAGTTTCAAAAGAAAGACTTGATTATTTTCAAAGAATCACTAAGTATATTTCACTCTAACACCCAAATGGATACAAACATCAGTGAGTACCATTTTACTATGTTGCTAGAAGAGTATTTTGAACATGTACCTCTTTTCAGAGTACTTTGTTAAAAAATAATTAAACCATGTAATATTCAGGCTTGAATGACTGAGTTAGCTATTACCTTACCTCTCTTTCTATTAGATCTTCTAAAGAAACTTCATCTTCCTTTTCCTCCTTCTTTTTGTCTTTTTTTAGTACAAAGCCAGGAGGGAGAGCATGGCGGTACATACAGTTGTCTCCTCCACCAGGACAAACCCAAAACCAGCCATATTTGTTGTTTTCAATAGCATCAAGAAAATACTTGCAGACCTGTATTAAAAACAGTGGTTATTACCCCTGAATCCTACTTTCTCCTCCCCAGCTACATACACTGGTAAAGTGAGTTTGTCACATTAACTCAGGAACAGTATTACAGCAAGGGTCAGTAATTCACATCTTGTCATATTACATTTCTGAGCTATCATTCAAACAGAAGTCCCAAGAAGAAATATTTTTGAATGTATTTTTATTAAAGAACAATGGACAAAAGAGTACAACTGATTAACTTATTTAAATAAAAAACTACATTTAAAGTTTTCAGCAGCTTTTTCTGTTAAGGTTTTCCAAATTTGGGGAAACAGATGGCTCAAAGGAATGGTGATTGATTGTCTAGTGGTATAAATCCAGTGTCTCTGTGTAAAGCGAGTTGGTCAGGTCTATGTCCTGTTCTTCATTGAGAGGTATCCAAATTTAAAAAGAGGCTATGGTTTTGTATGTTTTTGACAGTCTCAAACTGATGCATCAAGAATGTAATGAGAATGGAGACTGTACTCTACTACCCTTTCAACCTTGGAAGTTCTCCTTTCCAGGTCAAGTTTTTGAGCACACTGAAGGGACAGCATGCATTCTTGCTGCAGTCCTACACCCATCTGTAGATAGAACACTTCAGTTGCCAGAGCTGTGATTGTGGCAACTTTAACAAGCAATTTATTAATTTTACTATAGATCCCAAGCTGTTCTTTCACATTTCACTTCCAACTGTGTCATGAGTAATATTTAGTTATTGTGAATGGATAAAAATGTGGAATTAAAAGAGTGAAAAACACAAAGGTATAAAATATTAAAGATTTAAACTGATGCTAGTTAAGATACAAATTAAGGTCCCAATTTAAAATATCCCATAGTTTTGGAGCCCTAAGGACTAGAAAATACCTTCTAATTAGTGTTTTTTTTAAGACTTAGCATTACAGAAAAGATTAAACTGTATGCACTGATAGGGCACTCATGGTTAGAATATTTCTTTGTTCCCATCTATAAATCTATTAGCATCTTAGGTTCACAATCAAAAAAGTAAGATGTGCAAGAGAATCAATCACATAAGTAATCCTATTGGCATATGTAACTATGAACACTTGAATCTTCAAAATGGGTAGTCAAATTACATCCAATAATGTACCAGGATTACTCTTCACACTGTTTATGAAATCATTTTTATCTTAGAAAAAGATGCTTCTCATACCCAAATATGCACATAAACTATATATTAATAACTATAAAAGAGCCTTGCTTATTTCAGAAATATGGCAAGATGATAGAATAATGCAAGTCAACCTTTATCCTCAAAATGTCTTTATAATAGTCAAATAAAGATTTCAAGATATTCTAGTAGAAAAATCCAATACCTTTCCAAATTTAATTCTCTCTAATGATAGCTAATAACTACTGCTACTCAATTAAAGAAAAGGACATACTATTTGAGTTTTGGGTTTTTTCTTTTCCGCCTCACCATGCTTCTTGTTCACCACCTCTTCCAGCTTTTTCTCATCCCAATTATCCATTGTATCTAGATATAAATAGTAAAAAAGTTGGTTTCACTTACATCTCGAATTATAACTAAAATGCCAAACCTCACAATCAAACTGCTTTGGATTCTGCAGTTTAACTGCAGTAAAGGAAAAGCAATACTGTCAAGTTTAGGTTCTTAATTATGATTTAATAAAAAGGATTTTCAAAGCCTCACGTGCTTTTATTTAAATCAAAAATTCTTTTAGAGCATTTTAAAGAATTTACACCTCTTCCGCCACATAAACTCATGTTCCCCCCCTGCCCCCCAAAAAACCCCCATAGAATCTGAGATTCCATGTCTGTGTTGAGTGGATTGGGGGGAAAAAGAAGGAAACAAGGAACAGTAGGTGGGATGGTGCCCAGGAAGGAGGTGAGGGAAAATAGTTCAAATAAACACATGAGCAGGAGAAGAGAGGCTGACAGATATAAGTCAAGGCAGGAAGTTCTTTATCATCTTTGGTGATACACAAGAAGCAGCCATTAAAGAAAAGAAGCTGTGAAAGGTTGGAACACTAACAAGAACAATGAAATCATACGTGTGGTCCTGGTGCACCACTTCAGTGTGTCAAAAGGTTAAAACATTACCAAGCAGGAATGGCATACATTGTGTTAGTGCGTGACAACCACAAAAGAAAATTGACCTGTCTTAGTGTAGCTCTCTAACCCATGCTGAGCAAAAGTAGAATGCTGTTTGGCTTTGCATTTTCAACTGATCGGTGCTGATGGAAAATGAAGCCACAGACAGAAGCTTCCCAAGCAACCTGAATTTAAAATACTGTTCATACACATTATGCTACTACTAATAGCATATGTGCAAAAACCATAAGAAGTTGCAGTTCATTTGCTTTTTCTAAAGCCTGGCTATCTTTAGAAGCAATTGGAAACTAAAAGGAGCCAATTCTATATGACTTGCCCCCTCTATACTGTAAATACTCCACACCACCAGATTTTACGGATTGCTGCCCTGGAGCACATTGTCTTTATTATACTAATCCATCAAAATAGGGACTAGAAAAAATTCTCTTGTAGATATGAAGTTGAGTGATTTTTCTTTTTTAAGTCAGCTCAATATTATTTGTATTACCAACCACCTAGAAGTCCCAGCCATAGGCCACAACCTGATTGTGCTAGGCGTTGTACAAACAGAACAAGAAGACTATTCCTGCTCCAAAGAGCTTATGAACTTATTATTAGAACTTTGGCACCAGAAAAATATGTTGGCAGTTATTTTCCAGAAAGAATATACCTTTTTCAAGATCTTCATCTCTTGCGTCAATGTAAACACTTCGTTTTTCACACTTTCTCTCCAAAGACAAATCATGAGAAAACTTGCACTTATCTCCTTTAGTGCACTGTCCTTGCTTGAAGAAAGCACAAACTACTGATTTGGGATCTGCACCTGTGTCATATGAAATTTAGTATTTTAGTACTGTTTCCAGGCAAAACATTTTAAGTCGCATTTAAAATTATTTGCCAATTTTTTTCAAAAAGCATTAACGCAACATTTCAGTTTTTAAACACCAAACAGTAGAGCATGGAAATTCAAAGTTAATTAAAAAAAAAAAACCTAGAAGTTGTTCACAGTACAATCACCATCACTAACTTCTCTCAATCTCCCTCAATACCACTACCAAGCTGCTGTCTTTCATGTACTGTATGCTTCATACCTACTTTGTTGTTAGGTTTGTTTTAAATGTCCAAATTGAAAGGCATTTTGATATTTAATATCAAATAATAAATAAATTTTAATAAAAAGTTTGATACTGGCATCAATGTGTGGCTTAAGTAATGCATGTGACCTATTCTTAGCTTACTACAATAGGTACTAATTCAAGAATCAAATTCACTTTAAAACTATCAACTGGGTTAATCAAGTTTCTTGTACTTAATTCCTATATTGATTCATAAGGCATGATATTTTCAGTGGCAGCCATCTAGCTCCAGTGCAACATAGTTAATGGAACCCGATATAACATGAATTCGGATATAACACGGTAAAGCAGTGCTCCGGGGGGGGAAGGGGGGCGGGCCTGCGCACTCCTATGGATCAAAGCAAGTTTGATATAATGCAGTTTCACCTATCACGCGGTAAGATTTTTTGGCTCCCAAAGACAGCGTTATATCTAGGTAGAGGTGTATTTTCACAGGCACTGAACCACTGCTATGGGACGTATTACTATAGCAATGAAACTACAAGGATTTAGTCTTAATGAGGCACTGATGTTTATCGTTAGGGTGGGTGTCAGGCAAAAAAAAAAGTTTGATTTGGCCAATGATCTGATACCTAAGGGCTAGTCTACCCTATACAGGCTCTGCTGATAGTTACATTGGCACATTACATTATAACTCTACTGGCAGATTCCCCTAGTCCAGGTGCAGTATATGCCAACATAAGAAGTTCTTCCTGATGGTATATTACCACCAGCTCCCCAAACAAAGTTAGCTATGAAAGCAGAAGCACTTGTTGGCATAGCTGCATGTACACTGGGGTTATGGCTGGCACAGCTAGGTCAGCTAAGGGGTGTGATTTTTCTCACACACCTGACCAACACAGCTACGCTGAGAAAACTTTGTAGTATAGATCTAGCCTAAGACACAACAACCATGACTGTTTCCCCACTCTGTAAAATGGGGATAATGGTAATTTAAAGTGTTCCTTACTTACATAAATAAAATAATCAAACTGTTATACTTTTACAAAGAAAGAGACACCACTGAACACTAAGGGGGAGGACACAGAGAAGGAAAACTATATGCAAGGCCCACAACTGGCATAGAGCCTGTAGAACCAGTTCACTGCAGCCTCTGGCACAGGGACAGTTTCAGGGAAGGACAGTGCTAGAGTGAGTGCACTACACTCTAGCAATCTCCAGGGCAGAGAATTGGGGAACTGCAACTGGCTCTAACAGCCCTCCACCCCTGACTCTACTGTACCCAGTAAAAACTGGATGCAGCACAGAATCAGACTGCCAATGTTAATGAAGAAATCTCCATTGAAATCAGTACAGATTTCTGTACTCGGATCAATGACATTATGACCTCACAATGGTTTGCATTAAGAGGTCACATAATATAACCCTTCATATCCATTTTAGTTTTATTTGTTAACAGAATGGAATTATTAAAATAAAAAAGTTAGAATTGCTTGCTTATAGATAGGAAAACTGACATTTTAAATACTTTTTGAATGTGAACTACATAAAATACCAATAGAATTATCTACAAACTAAAATGTTACATTACTCTTAGTTTACCTTTACTAATTTTCTGGGCAGCAACTACAGGTTTGAAGAGTTCATTTAGTTCCTGTAATTCTTTCTTCTTATCATCTTTCTTTAATTTCTTGTCACCTTCAGCTTGAGCAGCCTATAATAATCCCAGAGTTGAAGCAAAGGATATTTAGAACCATGAAATTACAATCTGTACACTACAGCTTCAAAGATAATATAGCATGCAATATTAATTATATGTCATATAGAATGACAGTCACTGATTTAGGAGGTGTCAGCATTATTCTTTTCCTAATATTTCCTTGTATTAATGGCCAGGGTGCACTATCTAGCAAATGTTAGGAAGAGCTAAAATACATTTCAAACCGAAGAGAGGAAACACTTTACTAGGGCTAAAATACACTAATATGATTGAAGGACCCTTTTCTATTTTTGTTCCACATTTATGGAAGAGGAAATCAGGAAATAAGTGTCATTGCTGGCACAGGACAGCCATCTTCTAGCAAGACTCTAGCAAACACAAACTGTCACAGTAGAGGAATAACTGAATTAAAGATCCAGTGCCAACACTCAGCCCAGTTACTCTTGGCCAGGATCCACAAAGGTAGAGACTCTACTATTAAAACCCTAAAATTTATGTTTTATTCTTTCCTTTTATGTGCATCAGCAGCAGCTAGCCACGAAGTCTGGCTTTGAAAGTCATCTTATTCATTACATCACCTAGCCAATTTTTTATTTTATTGTGTGCAGTTCTTCAGCATTACAGTGTTCTGTTAATAACTGATGGTGTATATAGTAGGAAAGCTTAGTTTCATTTGAATTGTGTGTGAGGAAGAGACAATGAATAAAGTAGAAAGGGAAAACTATTTCTATGACTACAAGGGAGACATTGTGAACCTGCCTCCCCCTTCTAGTGGTTTAAAAATCAAGTCCCCTCATCATAAGTCACTGTTACTTAAGCTGGTAGGAAAAAAGACTTATACCCCAATACCTGGACCTGTGCAGAAGAACGAAGACATGGGAAAATAGCATGTACAATTAATTAGTTTTAGTATGCCTGACTCTCCTCCCAAAGTTGTTAATGAGACTTTATACCTAGCTATTTAAGGATATAATTATGCTCCCATTATTATTAGCAGTAGTAGATATTTATATGATGATAGTGTATAATGGCCTAGTCAGAATTGAAGTCAATGGTAAACATTCATTTGAAAGAGTCATTCTCTTTTTTTCAATATACTTCCATTCAGGCTCTGCAGCCTGGATGCTACCAGTATACTACTACTTCCAGGCAGAGGCATAATTTGATGCAATGCAGAATTAAAAGCAGGCTCCCCTCTTCCCTAAATGATGCATGAGATATCTAACTTTCAAAATAGTTATGAAGGTAAATTGATCCTGGGCTAACAGTCAACCTAAAAAAGATGCCAAATTATCTTTACAATTTTGATTTCTAATGACATTCAATCTAGAAAAGCCTATTTCAATCCTACTTTGCATCTGATGGATGAAATGGCACCTCCACACTTGTCAACTACAATAAAAACCAATATGTTTAATGATTTACTCTTTGAAATTACACACTTATTAGAGTACCTTTGTTACACCTCTAGGATTAGAGCTGAAGTTGTTTCTTAGCTTGACAGCACTTCCATTTGTACCTCAAGACATACCTGTCCTTGACTCTTGAGGGTTATTCACAGAGGTATGGCCTTGGGAGGTACAGCACTGTATTAGGATTAGATGTTGAAAGTTCTCTTTCCAGACTTCTAGGTTTCCTGGCTGTTTGGGGAGAAAAGTTTCAACATCTAATCCTAATACAATGATGTACCTCGCAAGTCCGTAAGACATACAAGGATATACCTTGCCCAGTTTCCATTTTTTGTTGAGAGAATTCTTCTCTATTGCGTACAGCTTTGTGAAAAAGCAGCAACTAAGTGAAATCAACATGAGTCTGGTCAGTTTTACAATTGCTATTCAGCCCTGGGCAGCTGTGAAACTGACATGAACCAAAAAAGAATTTCACAGGGCTCTAAAGATGATCCTAGCTAGCGACCTGTGCCTCATGCTGCAGAGGAAGACAAAAAACCCAAGGTGTCACAATCTGACCTGGGAAAAATTCCTTTCTGACCCCACGTAAGGCAATCAGCTAGACCCTGATCCTGTGAGTAAGACCCACCCAGACACCTGAGAAAAGAATTCTTGGTACCATCACATAGCACCGTACCTTCCCATGCTATGTCCCATCTCTGGCAGTGGCCTAAAACCACAGAAATGTCTGTCTGGAAGGAACCTTGAGAGGTCAGGACCACTCCCCTGAGGCAGGACCATACCTAGCAGGTGTTTGTCCAACCTGTTCTTAAAAACCTCCAATTACCTCCCTTGGAAGCCTATTCCAGTGCTTAACGATCCTTACAGTTAGAAAGTTTTTCCTAACATCTAACCTAAATCTCTCCTGCTGGAGATTAAGCCCATTATTTCTTGTCCTACCTTCAGTGGACACTGAGAACAATTGATCAATATCCTCTTTATAACAACCTGTAACTTACTTGAAGCCTTATCAGGTCTTTTTTTCTCAAGACTAAATATACCCAGTTTTTTTTTTTTTTTAAAACTCTTCCTCATAGGTCAGTTTTTTTAAATCTTTTATCATTTTTGTTGCTCTCCTCTGAACTCTCCAGTTTGTCTACATTTCTCAAACTGTGACTCTCCCAACTGGACACAAAAGCTTCAGGTGGGGGAGTCACTCATCTGTAGTGAGTAGAGCGGGACACTTACATTCTGTGCCTTACTTAAAACACCCCTATTATTACATCCAGAATGATATTAGCCATCTTCACAATTGTACCACATTGCTGCCTCATATTCAATTTGTGATCCACTATTACTGCCACACATTTGCTACTTAACCTCCACTGCCTAGCCAGTATTACTGCCTAGCCACCTCTAATGCTTCAGCCCTTAGAATGGAACGGAGGGAAAAGAGTGCCTTCCTGACCCCTATAGGTAAAAAAGGGCCACTTAGTTTCACTTTTGTTTATAATTAGGTGGTAGTTATTTATCTTCAGGTTTTCACACACTAGCGCAATAATACAATGTTTGGATTAAAAGCATTCCATAGGAATGTTTGCTAATCCTGTTACCACTGGAAAGCTTTTTAAATATGGAAACATCTTCACTAGTTGAAAGGTTCTATAAAAAATGTATATTAAAATTTTTTCTAGATTTGGAACTATGTTATCCTTTAACTAGATCGGGGTCGATAACTTTTCAGAAGTGGTGTGCCGAGTCTTCATTTATTCACTCTAATTTAAGGTTTCGCGTGCCAGTAATACATTTTAACGTTTTTAGAAGGTCTCTCTCTATGTCTATATTATATAACTAAACTATTGTTGTATGTAAAGTAAACAAGGTTTTTAAAATGTTTAAGACGCTTCATTTAAAATTAAATTAAAATGCAGATCTTATCAGTTTAGTGCAGTGGTTCTTAACCTTGGGTGCATGCACCCCCTGAGGGTGCGAGATGCCCTTTCTGGGGGTATGAGATATGCGAGATTTTTTTAGAAGGTAAATCATTGAAAACACAAATTAAGCACAGGCACATAAGTACAACTACTTTGTTTCATAAAACCTATGTATTTATTAACATTATACATGTTTTAATGATTGTAATATACAAACAAAGTTTTTAAGCTAATTGTAGTGTAATTTTTGATAAGGGCTGCAGAGTGCTGGCTGCCAGTACCCCAGGTCAGCAGGAAGGCTGAGAGCAGGGCCGGAGGCCCGGACCCCGGCTGATAGGGGGCCGGGCAGCTGGAACCCCAGACCAGCAGCAAGGTGAGCGGGGCCAGCGGCTGGTATCCCAGGCCGGCAGCAGGCTGGCAAGGGGCCGGCAGCCGGAACCCCAGCTGGCAAGGGGCCGGTGGCCGGAACCCCAGACTGGAAGTGGGCTGAGCCGCTCAGCCACTGCCGGCCGGGGGGTCTGTAAAAATCGTCTTGCGTGCCGCTTTTGGCATGCGTGCCGCAGACTGTCGACTCCTTAACTAGATAAACATTAACTTAACAATAATGACGAAGAGAATTAGTGTCTGACAATTAAATGGCTATTATTTTTAAAATAAATCTAAACCAACTGAATAAATTAAAATTGTGCTAGCAAAAATACATTAGGTAAATAATAAATCTTACCTCAACAACATCTCAGTACAAGTCTATATGAGACATTATGATTGATGAGAGATAATTACAGATTAAGTGCTTACCTGTCTTGGATTTTGTTGACCAAATTTAACTTGATGAGTCACAGCCTTGATAAACTTCTGCTGTTTTGCTCCTTTCTTATTCTTTAGACCAAATGTTTTGTCCTAAATTAGAAGAGATTTGTATAAGTGATGCTTCAGCTACTGGACAGTTTTATGAAAAGTTCAATTTAAGTTACAACAAAAATTTATTGTTCCTTTCAACTTATCAATACCATTCCCACCCTTGATTTCCCCAAAGCTACTTTGATCTGAGGAACAGAATGGGCAATATTTAGTCTTGAATTGGGCAAAGATTGAAGGTCTCATATCAAATTAAACACTAGCTCTTAAATTAAAATAGATTTTTTTCAGTTTAAACAAGCCATGTTATTCTCAAAGGTAACATACAGCATTCAGAAATTATAGTTAATTCTTTGTTAGTCAAGAAAGAGCAAGAAGAGTATTTAAAGATTTAATTAAAACACCCTATGGTTGTAACTTCCAGTTCAATAAGTGTTATTTAGTTTTTGAATGATGTAATCTGGTCTATATTTAAATATAGAAGGCCTGCATGGAGACAGCATTAAAAGAATTAAAAAAACAATATGATAAAATAAAGATACCTCAACAAGGATTTGGTAAATTAAATTATCTATCTCGATAATGTATCTCAATCCCAACAGGCAGTTATGAATGACTGAACCAATAACATGATGTAGCAATAGTAAAATGAACAGAATAAAATCTTACATTCCATCTGTCAGGCTCAGTTTATCATGTGAGTTGCATGTCATTTTGAGACTCAGCTCCAAAACAACTCGTAATCCTTTATTTTCCCTTTGGAGATTTCTGTAGTAACTAGAGTCAACTTTACAAATCTGTAAAACCTATAGGGCTTTTTATTTAAAAAGAGGTTACCTTGCATTACGCACACCTTTAACTTTGACTTGCGGAACAATATTATTCCCAAGTTCAATGTGTAACACAAAATAAAGAAAGACGTTGTCTATTCCAGTGGTTCTCAATCCACGGACCACTTGCGGCCCAATCAGCACACAGCTGCGACCCATGTGACATCCTCAGGGCCATACATGTGTTATATATATAGTGTGTGTGGAGGCGGCCCACATAACACATAGAGAGCTGCATATATGGCCCACAATGTTCACAAGATTGAGGAACACTGATCTATTCTATTGAGAATGATATAACAGAAAATAGACTAGAAGGGTACTTAAAACACAATACTTTATGGGAACACCAGTTTCAAGTTCTGGGCAGCAGAAAAAGGCTTCTCAGTTAAATGCACTAAGCTATGGAAAAGATAGAAACTACATATATGACCTTAAAATGGACTTGGAGGTTCTGCTTATTTTTTTTTTTTTTGGTGAATGCCATTCCATGGCATTTTTGTAAGTGCAACAGTTGCCCTAGGGTGTCCAGCCAAAAGCATTTCCCCCTTACTGCTGTTTTCTGTTATGGCAAGGTGTGCTTGTCACTTGCCTCCCCCAGAGGTGCTGAACCAAAGGGTCCTCCAAATTAAGTCATAATGTCTTCAATTTATCTGAATATTTGTGCCCCAAAATTTTGTAAAACAGTAAAATATCCATATAATCCTTTCTTGTCCTGCATTCTTTTAACAGTTTTCTTTACCATTGCTGTAGTTCCTCTCCTCACCCATCTTCCCTATGTGACCACTGTAAGATACCATTAAAGTAGTATTTCACAAAGTTTCAGACTGTTGAAGAAAAGGCACCTGCTTTCTGTGTGTTCAATCCAAAAAGTTGCTGAGTATCCCCCCATTCCATGGCAAAAAGTGTCTGCTCACGCTCCTCTGCAGCAATTTGTCTCCCTACATTTCCAGTTTGTTTATGGAAGGCAGATCTTCTATCTCAGTTCCATTCAAATTTTATATAAAACCTGACAACTCCCTTTACACTCCTATCTGCGGCAATGTATTTTTCTGTGACTGCAACCTCTATTTAAAGCCTAACTTTGCCTTTGATTTAATTCTATTTATTAGAAGCAGAAAAATATTTTATTGCTAGTCACTGGAATAAAAAAAAGTCACCCAATGATAACATCTTGGTTAACACAATTTGGGAAATGTTAATAGAGGAAAAACACCTAGCAAAATAACAAAAAAATAAATAAATTAGAAACTGGTTACTTTTTATTGAAAACACTAAAAATAGTTCCAGCACTCAAGCTCACAAAGTTTTACATACTAATTAACCATCAATAATAATAATGGATTAGTGAGTTTTCAGAGTATATTTTTAATAATTTGTTGCTTTGCAATGAATGTATAGCTTTTAAATACAACAAATATAAGGCCTGATCTACACTAGAAAGTTAGGTTGACGTAAAGCAGCTTATGTTGACCTAACTCTGTAAGCGTCTACACTAAAATGTCACTCCCACCGATGTAAGTCACCCACTACGTCAACTTAGGCCATGTCTACACTAGCACTTATGGGGCAAAACTTTTGTCACTCAGGGTGTAAAAAAACCAAACACAGCCCTGAGCATTGTGTGCACAGTGCTACGTCAGCGGGAGATGCTCTCCCGCCAACATAAAACCAGCTCAACGAACAATGGTAGCTATTATGTTCTCTCCAGTTGGCATAACGCGACTACCCAAGCACTCTTGCAGTGGTACAGCTGTGTAGACACTGCGTTACTTACATCGTCTATTGGCTGTCAGCCCCACATGGGCCTGACAGCTGGGGCTTCCCAGTGGTGGGGCTCCAGCTGTCAGCCCTGCGGTGGGGGGCTCCAGTTGTCAGTGCCCTCAATGCCCCAGAGAATTAAGTCGGTGGAAGTGCTCCTGGTATGGAGTATGGATGTTGACTTAACTTACGTCGATTTAATTTTGTAGTGTAGACATGCCCTAAGTTATGAAAAAAGAAGACTGATTCACATGTGGCATTACTGCCTCATTTTATATAACGAATGTCCCTTAAATACACCATTACTTTACATGTACTATCATGTTTGTGATCTCATTTGAAATGTCAAAGATAACGTATCTGTTTTTTCAACTACAAAATAAGAGTCTTTGTGGACTAGAACTCTCCTATAACTGAGTTCAGCCAGAACATTACTAATTCAGCAACCAACACTCCAAGATAATGATTAAAATCTAAAGCAGTTTAAGGAGTGTAATAAAAAAGAACAATTATTTTAGGGTAGTTTGTAGCATTGTATTTAAAAGGAAATTGTTAAGATATCTAGGTCCCAAATCTAACGTACCTGACTGATCTCACTCAGTTTGCTTAGATATTTAATTTTCTATTTACACTCTTTCCTCCACCCCAAAAAGTCATATTTTCAGCATTTCAGAAGATATTCACTCACAAGGAATCCCAATGACAAATAAGCCTGTATAATGTTACATGTTTTATTAAATAAAATTATAAACACTGACATTTCTTAACAGTCAAGAATAGTTTTATGAATGACAAACATTGTTAGAGGACCAACAGAGCACAAAATGTTACTACCTGATAATCTTTAATTTATTCAGCCTAGATTTTTCACTCAACCAGAGCTCGGAGTGCTAAACAAGTATTTACCCACGCCATCAGCTGACATTATGCCCTGACACAAGAGACCATAGGCCAAGTTTTGCACTGAGATCCACATACAGAGTGATTTGATTTGACTGGCATTGCAGACATACATCTGAAAGAGCTGAGCCCTGCAAGCTTTCCAACACCTGTGCTCTAATGTGTCAGAATAAAAACTTTGACCAACCCATCTTCAGGCTGAAAATAACCGACCCTGGTCTATTTACGGGATCCAATGAAAAGAGCAGTTAAAGGGCCACGGAGAAGCAAGCAATGCGTTAACAGATGCGGCTGGTGCCTTGGGAGAGGAAGGGCGGCGGAGTCCCTTCAGAGGCGCCTCCATACCTGGTGGCAGCTTCTACACTTTTGTTTTTAAGCTTGTTGATTTAAAAACATTTTCATAAAGTTGTTTCAACCGAAGTGGCCGCCCGGTAGCCATTTCCCCGGGGGGAGGAGAGGAAAGAGGGAGATCAGCTCCGTTTCTAAGGCAATCTAAGGTTGTTGGTTTAAGGCTCCCCCAGAGGACATGGGATCAAGAAAGGGCCCGAGACGCATCCCGGGAAGGGCGAGGGGAAGGACAGGGAGCTGGCGGGGGGCAGAGAGGGGGAAGGAGAAGGGTGATGGGGGCTGGATCGGGGCCGAGGAGCAGGGACGGGACTACGGGATGCGGTGGGTAGCAGGGACCGGCAGGAAAGGGGCCGGACGGAATACGGAGGCGACGCGGGGACACACCAGAAGCGTGACGTGCGAGAGACGGTTACGGCCTCCCTGTCCCCCCCTCCCTGAGCTACTCCCCCTCGCCCCATCGCGACTGTGAGGCGGCTCAGAGGGCCTGGCCACCCCGGCTTCTCTCGCCGGCTCCTCTTCCCGGCGCCCCCTCCTCACCTCGATGATCTTCTCCTTCTTTTTCTGGTCCGCCTTCTTATTGGGCCCCGCCGCAGGCGGCGGTTTCTTGGGGGGCATCTCGGGGAAGGGGGGCGGGCCCCTGTCCGCGCTCGCTCGGGTCCTCTCAGCGCCGCGGCCGGAAAGCGCGCGGGGGACCGAGGGGCCGTAGCTCACAGCCAAGCAATGAAAAACCAAAGGAAGGATTCAGTTTACGACAGGCCGTCAACGACCGCTGCCCCGAGGCGCTCTACGAAAGCGGTTGCGCGCGCAATCTGAGATGGGGAAGAGCGTGCAAAGATATTTCCCACAATCCCACACGAGCGAAAAATCCCGGTGATGCCGGAATCACGTGACTGGGGTGAGGCGAGGTTACCCGCGTGCCGGCTCCCTCCCCCGCTGCTGCGGGAACGGTCAGTGGTTGGGGGTGGGCCTGAGCCTCGCGCTCTCAGCCGTGGTGGTAGGAGCCGGTTCCCTGCGCCCCGCCCTTCCCAGCCCGTGCAGCAGGCGTTGGGCAGCCTGGAGCCGCTCGGGGACTCCCAGTTCCGCAGGCGCACCTCGGCCGAGCCCTCGCTGCGGGTCGGGGACGTGCCTGCCCCACCCCACATTGCTGCTGTGTGCTGACTCCCCCCGGAGCTGGCGTCTTGCGAGGGCGCTGGGGTGTAGCTGCCGCCAGCCCAAACAGGCCCGGCCTGGGAGCCAGGTGTGTAGGGTGACCAGATGTCCCGATTTTGGGGTCTTTTTTCTTATATAGGCTCCTATTACACACACCTACCCCCCACCCCCCTCCTGATTTTTCACATTTGCTGACTGGTCACCCTACAGGTGTGTGAATCAGCACCTGTAACGCGGCGGTGCAGGACTCCGACCCAGATGCTATACCGGTCACATATGAAATACACCCCCCTTTCCCCTTAGTCAGTAATATGCGTTTTCCCTATTCAGTTGCCTAAATGTAAAGTGATTTACAGCAAATTCAGCTACCAGGTGAAGTACCTAACGCCTCTCCCCAGAGCCAAACCCACTGGTGCAATGACTTTTTGAAGAAGTGCATATTAAGGAGAGAGATGGACAGAGGGACCCATTCGTAAGGGGATGTAGGGAAAGGGGGATGGAGACTAGATCGGGGAGAGACTTGAGACAAGGCTTAACAGTGAGGCATGTGGCCTGGATAGGCTGGGGAATGAAGGGTGATAAGAGGCGGTTCTGAGTTTCGAATGTGGGCAAAGAGCTTAAATTTGATGTAGTGGGGAATGGGAGCCCAGCCAGGGATTTGGAGAGGGGCTGTACATGATCAGGCTAAAGCAAATGCTTTTTCTGGCAGTATTTTGGATGGTTTCAAGGGGCATGGGCAAAATTGTGGGAGGCCAAAGAGAAAAATGCAGCAATCCAGGTGGGAAGTAGAATAATAGAACTGGACCTCGAGAGGTCATCTAGTCCAGTCCCCGGCACTCATGGCAGGACTAAGTATTATGAGACCATCACTGACAGGTGTGTTTGTCTAACCTGCTCTTAAAAATCTCCAATGATGGAGATTCCACAACCTCCCTAGACAATTTATTCCAGTGCTTAACCAAGTAGTCAGCATTTATGGTGGAAATAGTTTCAGTGGAGTTACATGAGGGGTGAATATGGCCCATTTACTTGCATTTTAACTAACTTGATTCTGTGACAATGATTGTATTTATTTATAGCTTATTTCGGTCCTTTTAACAATTACTTCCATTAATTTACCATGAAATTTACCATGAAAGGGAGAACCAGTAAAAAGAAACACCAACCAGGGCCAAAGGGGGAGAGAATTTCAAAGGCACAAATGCAGTTAGGCACTTATTATGTGATATTATCTCAATTCTCACATAATTGGTGTTTTTAAAGCCCCAGCTCTTAAAGTCAAATATTAGGGCTGCATTTTTTACTAACTCTAATATAGACTTCCTCTGTAACCTTGACCAAGTCACTTAATTTTACTATGCTTTAATTCCCTCATGAGTGCAATGGATATAATAATACGTAATGTGAGTCTTAATTATTAATTATATTTCCTGATTATATCAGAAAGTAGAAGTACATGTGCTAAAATACCAAACCACTTAAAGAGCCTACCCTGATGGTGTGTTGGGCCTGACCAAAAGCAAAACGTAATGGCAATTGGGAGCCTGCTCTCAGAAGATTTCCAGCGTATACAGATTTGCAAATGCAAGAGGTTCTAATAGTTCTGATAAAGATCCACATTTTGGAGGATGCTTACTTAAACAAAACTAAATTTCAAATCTTTTGAGATTTGCCTTATTACTTGCACTTGCTTTCAGACTCATTTGAGTATATTTGTCATCATCTGCATAACTGGAAAGGTTACCAATTTAAGACTAATTTACTTTTACGGCTGATATGACAATACTGATTTTATATAATGGAAATCACTTGTTTAAATTACTAAAAAAGCTAGGTTGTGCTGTGAGCCAAATCTATTGGATAACATTCAGTATGAAACTTACCTCTGAGAAATCAAAAATATGAAACTTTTCTATTAAGATTCCAAAATGAGCAAAACAGGAGCAGCAAGGTAATTAATACGCAAATGTGGTAATTGCTTGGATACAGAAGTTCCATTTTCCTATGAAATTTTCAATGTGTTTTTTTTTTCCCCCTAAATTGGAGAATCCATAGGAAAGGAGTCAGTTTATGTTGAGAGTAAAAGTGATGATGATTATCTCAGGGTAAGAAACTTACTACTTAAGGAATCCTTGTCTTATATAATAAATTTAAAGTTATTTTAGTGCTCATGAAAGTGTTGACTGATAATGGAAGGCCTCAAATTTATATGAGAATAGGTACAGCGCCAGCCAGAACCATTCATGTTATCCCCAGTCCCCACCACTGGGTCTGATTGTCTTCTTGCAATAGGTTTAGAATAGTACAGCTCCACTGATTTTTAGAGTAGTTATTTTTGGTTTATGTTAGTCCAATTGTATTTCAATCATTTATGGGGTGAGTGTTTTAGATACTGCCAACAAACACATTGGTTAGTGCCAATTATGATGGTAGTTCTGTTGTTTGGAATTTTGATCAATTTGCACTCCCATATAGCATCTTTCAGTGCTCTGTGTTGTTCTCACAATACTCATGTAAGCGTTAAGTATCAATATCTGCATTTTACATGTAAAGATCTAGAGCATCCCCTCTCATGGAATAACGTTCAGGAGGTAGGCTGTGGGAGGAGTATCTTCTCATATTGCTCTCCCCTCAGCTAATGTTGTTCTCACAATAAATACTTGAGCTTTCCCTGACGGCCCACTGATGTTACTTCCTGAAAATCACTTTGATATAATAGTGATAGATTAATGTGCTCAGATGCTTGAAACAAGCTACTGGATACCTCTGCTGAAGTCCAGAAAGTGTACCCTAACTGGGGGTTGCTTCTGCAGAAGAGACTGGGATTCCATTACGGCTTATAGATACAGCCTTAATGGTGGTGTTCCTGGAGAGCAGCAAGATGTAGTTGGGTTTTCCTTTGTCTCGAACTCTCAAATCAGGCTGCTGGTTCACCAAATGGCTGATGAATATGGGCTATAGTACATAAGCACTGGGGAGCAGGGAGAGAGATACATCAGCAATCAACTCATGTCTGGGAAATACTGATGCCAGTGGGCAAAACCAACCCCACAAATGTCAAAACCCTCAAAAAGAAGCTCTTGCCCCTGGCAAGAAGGGAGGAAGCAGCATGAGACCTGAAAACGCTACACCTGGAGAGAATGCAAAAAGAAAAAAACAGGAAAAGTGGGTGAGAGAGAATCAGGAGCTAAACATGTACCCACAGGAAATAGGGAAGAAACACAAAAGGAAAGGCTGCTCCCTTATAACGTTGTTTGGCAGCCGCCTGCTTTGTCTACTGCTTGCAGAAAGAGCAGTCTGTTGCAGCTAGCTGGTGGGGGCTTGGAAGCAGGGTTGACCGTCAGTCCCCCTATCAGCTCCCCTAAGTTCCGTGTGCAGCAGCTGCCCAGCAGGCTATCAATTGCCAGCAGTTCAGCTGTCCCTTCCTCCACTGCCTTGTGATGCTCCTGCCCTCTGCCTTGGAGCTGCTCCCAGGAGCCTCCTGCTTGCTGTGCGGGAGGGTGGGAAGAGAGTGGCTAATGTCAGGGTGTCCTCCTCCCCCCTGCCTCTCCCATCTCTATGGGGGGGTGAGGGGGAGACAGGACAGGGCTCAAGATGGAGGGAGCTTGCTGGCAGCAGCTGCTGTCTCAACTTGCTGATCTACTTAAAAAGGCAGTGTACTTAGAGTGGCGTCAGCATACTTAAAGGGGCAATGCGCATCTCTCTCACACACAGGGTATGTGTCTCTGCCTGCTATGCTGTCTCCTCTCTTTCCATTTGTGCTGCCTTGTAGAGTGTGAGGGTACATTAACAACAATGTGTTAACCCTTGAGGGCTCAACTGAGTGCTAGTTCATCATTTATCAGTAAGGCATTCCCTGGGAAATATCCTATCCTCTTCCGCCCTCTGACTTCACCACCTAAACCAAGCTTCACAATCATCATTGCTGTGTACAGTATTAAATTGGTTGTTTAAAACTTATACTGTGTGTGTGTGTGTATATATATAGAGAGAGAGAGAGAGAGAGAGAGAGAGTGATGGACTTAGACCAGAAGGATATAAGAGAGTAGTGGAAGGCAGGTATATTGGCCTTAGAATGAGCAGGTCCCTGTTCCCTGGATAGCCAAACAAAGGCTACTCCAGGCTAATCAAGACACCTGATGCCAATTTAACCCGTTAAGGTCGTTAGGCTAATGCCGGCACCTGATCACAATTAACTGGCAAAGGGTCAGTTAAGGTTGTTGGGCTAATGGAGACCGCTGGAACCAATTAAGGTCCCACTCAGACTGCTTAAAATCTCTCCTTTCCAGCTCTTCTTGAGAGAAGCCTAGGTAAAAGGAGCTGGAGGAGAGGAAGCATTCCTGAATCAAGGGTGAAACTAGGAAAAGGGGACCATGGGGAAGTGGCCCAGGGAATCAAAGCAGCGTCAGTGGTGAAGGGAAAGCCACCAACAGCTGCTACCATTAAGGTCCCTGGGCTGGAACCTGGAGTAAAGGGTGGGCCCGGGTTTCCCTCTCCCCCCCCCCCACTCTACAGAGATCCCCTTGAGAGGGGAAGCAGACTTTGGTCCAGGCAGGAGGCCAAACTGTACCTATTGAGCTCTAAGGAGCAACAGAGACTGTGGGTATTCCACCTTCCCATCTCCCT